TAATTATGTATTTTAATTTTTATTTTTTTTTACTAATTATTGATATTCAATACTTCATTATTTTCAATGTTGATTTTGGTTGAAGCCAAAGGCGCCATAAGCTGCGAATACTGTTGCTGTAATAACTTATGAATGTTCGTGAAATCTGTAAAAGGAGATGGTAGGACACTTGGTATTGCCGGAGTTACATTTGTTTGTTGAGGTGCTGCTGACAAGGAAGGTACATTTGTTTGTTGAGGTAATTACGTTTGCTGGCCGAATAGTTGCCTTTTTTTTTTTGCTACGATTTGCTGAAGACATAACGATAGTGGAGTAACGATAGTGGAGTAACGATAGTGGAGTAACGATAGTAGAATAACGATAGTGGAGTAAACAAGGATGGTCTGCTCAAGCAATGATCGCAATCATTATTTCGATCAATTGTAATAATTGAGCATGACCCAATCACTATCAGATCACATTGAGGGAGTTGCTTGAGAACACCCATCATCTTATAAAACCAAATAAATGCATTCCTTTTCTAAAAGAATATTTTTTGGTACTTTATTTTCTTTTCTTTAACTTTGGCCGATAGCATGGAATATACATCCGAATCTGACTCCTTTGTTTATAATTTAATACCAATATTCTTTTTTACTATGAATTTCCTTGATGATACTTGGAATTACAACAGTTCTACTGGTGGAAGAGTATTTGATGATGCTATCTTCCTTGGTACTCCTTTTGGTGGGCTTTACTTTTGATATGGATTAAAGGCGGTAATATTATTGGACTACGTATTTTTTATACAATATTTTTGTTTTTTTGTAGTTGTATTCTTCATTACTACACGTGTTTGGCTAAACCATTGGAAAAACGCGTATAAGAATATATTATTGAAAGTTACACATTTTTGCTAAACCATTGGAAAAACGCGTATAAGAATATATTATTGAAAGTTTGGATACACCGGATATTATGTCTTTTAGTATTATCACAAACAATTTTAATTATTTTTATTTTATCATTCATGTATAAAATGTCACCAGAATCTTTAGATACAGTTGATTATAAATATTATATCTGGGCATTCTTTCCAAGTTTGGTGGCAATATTCTATTTAATCGTACATTCATTGCTTTGTTATCGACCTGCTGAGGATGAACGCAAAAATCAACATTGAAAATAATGAAGTATTGAATATCAATAATTAGTAAAAAAAAATAAAAATTAAAATACATAATTA